GGGGGGGTGGTTTATGAAAACTGACATTGTCTTTGTTAGTGTTTTACAGAGGCATTTATTTTTAGTTATACGGCCGAAAGTCTCCAGCCCAATGAACTGTGGCTGTCTGTGGTGTGTTCAGCAGAAGAAAAAAAATAGACACTTTGCCATTAGTTCTAAAAATATCAATGACATGTCAGGGTCATCATCTCTATGTTAAGAACTATAGAGAGTTAGATAGAGACAAACTTATGTCTTTCACACTCAGCATCTTCAGTGTAAATGAAATTTTAAAAGAGCCTTTCACAGTTTTTAACCTGAATTATGCATCCCAATTCAAACTCTAAAAACGAGTACACCGGTAAGAAATGGCATAACTGGAAAAATGGTGGGAGATGGCTCACATCCGAACTCCATATGAGGATAGAAATGATTTTAAACTGACGTATCTTCTAAATATCTATAATATATAATGCTATATAAAATTATAGTCAGATGTTTATATATCATAATATCTCGTAGATACTAGATAGTACCTCGTAGAGGTTGGATGGAATGCCAGATTGAGAAAGCTACAAGATAGGAATTCCAGGCTGGATCAGGCTCTTATAGGATTTTCGACTTGGGACCAATCACCTAACCTGTCAGGATTTCCATTTCCTCATCTTTAACCTGAGAGGGTGTATCTCTACGGCTCTTTCCAAATTAAAAATGCCATACTTCAGAAATGGAAGAGAAGTTATATGCTCAAATGTTTGTCCTATTTTCCATAAGAGACACACAAGTTTAATATTTATTATATATTAGTATATATTTATATATTAAAAGATCATATATATATGTATATATATATAGTATATATTTATATATTAAAAGATCATATATATATGTATATATATATATGTTTGCATATAGACATGTTTGTCTTTACATACAGATGAATATGCAGTGATCTAGGGACCAATGTAGTTTGCGAACTACAGACAAGTAGAAAATATTTAGAAAATTTACTTTTGGATAACATTGGGCTATATTCTTAACATGCGTGTACCAGTTTATGTGACCGATTACAAAAGACAGTTTGTCACCTCACACCCATTAGGATTGATAGCTACTATGAAACAACAGCAACAACAGAAAAAAAATGTTGACAACGATACGGACACATTGAAACCTTTATGCATTGCTGGTGGGAATGTAAAATAGTGCAGCCACTATGGAACACAGTATGGGTTCCTCACAAAATTAGAAATAGCATTTTCATATAACCAAATATACCACTTCTGGGTAGATACCAATAGAACTGAAAGCAGGGTCTCAAAGAAATATTTCTACATCCATGTTCACAGTAGCATTCATAATAGTCAAAGCAATCCAAGTGTCTACGAAGGATGAATGAATAAACAGAATGTGGTGTATACGTACAATTAAATATTGTTCAGTTTCAAAAGGGAAGGACGATCTATGATACAAGCTACAACATGATGAACCCTGAGGACATTATGCTAAGTGAAATAAGCCAGTCACAAAAGGATAGATATTGTATGATTCCACTTAGATGAGGTACCTAGAACCAAGGCATAGAAACAAAAAGCAAAATGATAGCTGCTGAGGGTTCTGGGGAGTGGAGCACTGAGAGTTGTTGTTTAATGGGGAGTTTTCCAGTGGGTGCAGATAAAAGGCTTCTGACGGACAGTGGTGATGGAAGCACAATGATCTGAACGCACTAATGCTCCCAAACTGCAAACTTACAAATAGTTGAGATGAGAAATTCTATGTTATGTACATTTGCCACGATAAAAAAAATAATAAATTAAAAAAGAAGAAAATGTGACTTGAATCTGAATGCATTAGCTATTTTTCACAGCATCTCATAGTTGTAAGAGGATAGATTTTGGAACTAGATTGCCTGGCTTTGAATTCTGGCTCCACCGGTCCTCCGCACTGGGCTACTTTGGGTCAGTTTCACAAAATCTCTGTGACTCCTTTTCCTTTTCTGTAAATTGAGCACAAAAATAGTAATCTATTCACACAATTGTTGTAAGGCTAACATGTACTGATGTAGTAAAGTATTTAGAAAAATATCTGGCAATGATGTCTTTACTACTAATAAAATTCTGAGATAGCTTCTTTTATATGTGATGTCAGCTTTACATTCTTAGATATGGCAATAAAATCCTTTTAACTTGTTTGACATTTTGAAATCATTGACTATTATAATCGAAAGGTTAAATGCTCTTAAATTAATGGGAAAATCAGAATTTTTTTCTTTTCTTTTTTTTATTGTAAATAATAGTTTTAAATAGTTTAAAAGGTTGAGAAGGTAAAGCGTCATTGCAGAAGACTAATACTTTGACCTCTGTGATCTGAAGAACTAGCAATATTACCAAGGCTTAGACAATTAGTAAAATGACATCATATAAACATTTCTGGGAAAATAGGAAACTTTGCTGTGAGTTAAGAAGGGGTGTTACATTAACTCAAGAAAAATTCTCTAAAGCAAATGTTCAATTGCTTGACAAAAAAAAAAAGTGTTTTCTTTTGGGGGAGGCGTGGATGTATATAGCATAAAATAGGCTGCTTTCAAAGTTATTGAAGAGTGGGTTAACCATTTTGTATAACATTTGGGGAGACAGAGAACAGCCTTTAAAAGTAGGAGGTAAATAAACCTGAATTATCTACATCTTATAAGCTTTCACCTATGCAACATGATTCCATACTTTTTAAAGTGCTCGGTATGCTACTAACTGAATCACTTGCTAATGCAACTGAGACGTTCCTGCTCCCCACAACTCTAGAAGGAACTGATAGAGATATCAAAGAAAAGAAGAGGGCTTTCCAAGATGGTTCTGAGGCTAAGGAGAGAAGAAGCTATCAAAATAATTTTTACATTTTTGCCTAAGGTAAGAAAGGCCCGTGAGGAGAAACCACATGCTTCAAAACACAACTCGAAACAGCAGAGGGGACAGAGGGTATCTCACTCTTGTACGTAGCCCTGGTAACGTGACTGACTCTCTCAGGGAGCAGCCTAGGAATGAACCACAGTCTTTCTCCGAGATGCAGTGTGACTTATAGATGTGGATATTCAGATTCTGGAGAATACATACCTTTAATATTATCTGCCTGAACCTGAGGAACAGATGGCACAAACTAAAATCAGCTTACCACAAATAATTATACGAAATGAAAATTAGATGGATGAAACCTAAAATTTGATGCTTTTTATATTAAGTCAAAATTAGAAATAGATAAGCTCATTTATGTAGCTAATAAATTGAAAGCAGAACCTCCATCTTGCGTAAAAAGGAATACTCTGAAATGGAAATTAATATCTTAGTGCATAAACAGTTTGAAGCCCAGTTACCTCTATCTAGTCTACATTTTATCTGAAAATGATGTTTTTACTAGAACTACATAGTAAAACCTCTAGAACAAATGCATAGTAAATAAAAATCATAGATGTGTATGTGTTTTCATAACAAGAAATATACTTAGTAAAAAATAATAGAGTAGGAAAAGAATAACAAGTTGGATTTAGTTCAATTTGATTGATCAGTGCTTATTGGGAACCTACTATGTATAAGTTCCTGCTATAGACTAAACCATAAACATTATATCTACCTGTGGCATTAGGTTACAAAATTTAAAAGATTAAGTCTTCCTCCCTTTCCCTAGGATACTCAAAGTGGTTCGTGGCCCATTTGACTAGAGGGTAAATAAACAACCAGACACAGTGAGCATCTCTTCCAAGGACATGCCATCCTCCAAACTGCCCCCTTTGAGATTTCAGGATTGTCAACCAAAGAATGAACACCTCTGCTCCATTCTGCCCAGAGAACAGTGTGGCATACATTAGGGATACTGTCTTCAAAATTTAGGGCACAACGGTCCCTCTTAAGGATAGCCAATGAGAAAAAAATTAGTAAGACTACTCAAAATTCATTTAAAATTCATGACCCATTTGTTCTTTCTAACCTCCTAAAGACAATAAATTGGTGCCCTCTCATTATCTTGCTACCAGAGACACTCTACATTATTTTACAGTGAAACTATGAAATTGATTTGTAATAAAAGTCTGTTGGAGGTCAAGGTGCAGCTAAGAGCAGCTGGGTGTCTTTATAAAAAAAAGGGTTATGGCTGTTGCATACAAACAAGCTCAAAAAGTATAATCACCCTTGAATGATCTCTTGGGTCAATGACAACTTAAAAGCTATATAAACCCAAGGAGATTTGGGGAGGCACAGACAGGCTTTAAAAGCAAGAGCCAAATGAACTTGAATTATCAAAGATAACTGGGACAGAAGATTCAGTTAACTTCTTTATCAACTAAAATTAATGTACTGACAAATTAAAAGCAACAGTGAATTACATGCATTCCATATCTGGCAGAGACATTACTTGAAAAAAAATAAAAAAAGATGGATAATGAAATGTTTTATTTTGTTCCCAAGAGACATATTTGGAAAATATATATGTCTATTAGCAACAAGGGGATACACCATGCCTATGACACATAAAAATGAGTTATTTCAACTTATGGCTTTTTTTTTTTTTCAGGAAATTTGATAATTTCAGTTGTTTTGAGACAAGATACCTACTTCAAAGAAGAACCATATTTTCACTTCAAACCTCAGAACAGAATCCAAATGATAAACCATGTATTTTGAGTTTCACTACTTAGAAATTTTTTTGCTCCAGTGTTTATTCAGTGAACAAGAGACTCTGTATAATAGGGAATTTCTTTGGCTTCTCAAAAGGAAAAAAAGATCAACATTAATGGATCCATGTAATACTTGGAAGAATGGTATGGATATAGAAAGAACTGATACATTTGAGAGTCAGAAAGATTACAAAGGGACTTATGGATTAATTTATGATCATACATTGTTCTGCTTCACACTCCTGTGGTTAAATACCACAAATTCTTTTTTTTTTTTTTTTTGGTGGTGGGTGGGGAGGAACAACAGCCGCTGACATGTGCATACTTCTACCCCTTCTTTTACTTCTGGTGACAGCACTCTTTAAAGAAGCCTCCCTGCTCCAACATTAGTCAACATCTTTTCAGAAGAGATGACTCCATTTCAGCCTCCTGTCATGGATTTATAACCCAGGCCCGGATAATCGCAATCATGGTGATTCAAGGATGGAAAGTGCCTAATACCAGGACAATCAGCGTTCCAGGACTTTTGCTGAACTAAGGTAGGATATAGATCTGATGTTACTGTTAGCCAAAATTCCAAGAGAAGCTGGTCTGACAGCACAGGTAACACAGAGGGAAACAGAATCCCTGGTTGGGTGGTTGGGGAAGAAGAGAGGGAGGGAGGTAGGGAGGAAGGAAGAGGGGGTGGAGATCCTAAAGTCATTGTTCTTTAAATCCTAGTATTTAGCCATGCCTGAAGCCATCCATATTCACTCCCTGATCTTCCTAATTACAGGAGCCAAGAAATTCCCTTTCATGTTTATGCTGGTTTGAACTGCAGTTCCTCTCATTTGAAACAGTTATCTTTTTGCCTAGTACAGCTATTCAGGTTTGAGAGTGAGTAGTAAGCCTGTTGGAAAGGGGGAAAAAAAGCATGTTTCCACCCCCACCACTTTCCAAGAACAAATTCTGTTCTTGCATTACTGAGGAATGACTCAAGGGCATTGCACTGACTCCCTTGCCAATCCTGTAATATACCTTTCTTGGTGACCTTCTCTGACCTCATAATATGATTATAGACATAGATGATTTACAAGAAGTGAAAATTCAATTGGAATGATTCAAAGTGACTTTGATAAACTACAATCTGGGGGACATGTGTATTCTTGAAATACACATTTTCATTGATTACCTATGTCCCTAAGCAGTGGAGAGATGGAAATTTATAAAGCTTAAAACCATTACAGATAGGAATGAAGACTTTAATACATATTAGTAATTGGTTAGAACATGATTCACCTAGTGAAAATTCTGACATGAATCAGAGTTCCTACACACTGAAAGATTCATTTCCCTTTTGAAATTTACACAGAAGAAAATTTAATGTTTAGATGGGTTGACAGCTGAACTAATTTTGGTGTTTTTGCATTGGCTTAATTTATAGTTCATGACTCTAGTCCCTAAATATCCATTCTTTTGATCTTGAATTAAGGGCAAATTTGGACTTTAGGGCTTATTCTCTCCCTGGCTTATCAACTACATGAAGATAAAAGAGATTAAAGGAATCTCGGTGAGACTCTGATTTAATGACTTCTTTAGAAATGAAGAAACTGAGGAACAGAAAGTTCACTATGATTTGTCCAAAGTCACACAATCGTTTAATGATAGAGTCATTCAGAAGTTTCCTTTTCTTTTTATAATGAGATTCAGAGATGTTCAGAATGCTATGTTTAATTATCAAGAGAAAATGATAGATATGTCTTTATTACTCAAACAATAGTGACCAGGTATGCTTAATGCTTTCTTTTCTTTCTTCAATTAGAGAAGATGGCAGAGAGGTGGAAGATGGGTTTTCTGAGACATAAATAGTGGGCCATTTCAAGAAAACAAGTGCATTAGAAAGAGGATTTTTGAGTCTCCACATGAACTGGAAAGCTTTTAAAGCTCTATTTTAAAAATCATTTAACCTGTTGTTCCCAGCTTCCATTTCTCTCTGCTATATAAGGAACTGATGCTTCCAAAATCAATTATAATACTCTGTCAAATTCTCCCTCTGCTGTTTTCAGTTTCTCACCCCACTTTTCTTGTGCTATGTATGTTTCTTCCGCCATCCATGGAAATTCTGGCATGCTATCGGACAGATCGCCTTCTCATTCAGCTCCTCACCCATCTACAGGAATTTCATTTACATTCCCACAGCTGCCTTATAGATCTCTGAAAATAAGACTCTTAACTCATTATCATCAGTTAATTTGATTTACTATCAGTACAGATGTGTCAAACTAGAAAGATCCATGCACCAGGGTCCAAGCGACATGAGGAGGCCATTTTGAATAAGGAGCATGCCTAACTCTCTTTTCTAGTTCCCAAAACATTACACTTTTACCACATCGGTTGTTCCTGATACAATGGAAAACCACAGCATAACTGGGTTCTAGTCTCATTTTTTTGCCACAAACTGGCTCTGTCACGCTGGGCTACCCACATCTTTCCTCCAGGTTTCCGTTCCCGACCATAAGAGAGGAGGTTAAATTGGGCACTTATTTTTACTAGTAAATCTGCCTAATACTCAGTGGATTCTTACTATGTCCTAGGCATGTGAAATTCACTAGTGAGAGAAGAGAGAACCACATGATAAGTACACCATTCCCTCATGGAACTTTCCAGTCTAGGATCAAGTCTCCAGCTTTAAATGCAGGTATATTAACAGAGTCAACTCTTCAGAAAATTCTGGAGGGTGGAGGGTGGAGGGGGAAGTCTATTACCCTCCTCGGAAGCCAGAGCAAGCACTTAACTGACATGAGCTGATGTTCTCAATTTGATTAGTTTATTAAACCCAAGCGTTCCCCACCCCCATAAATCAGAATTATCCCTCTTCAAAGAACTATGTAGTCATGTTTTATGCTCTGATTTAATCCTTTTTAAGTTACAGAAAAAGCCATCCTCTCCCCTCATCAAATTTTGAGGAATCCTTCCCTGACCGCAGCCTCAGGAAAAACTTGTTCTCTGGCACCTGTCACCCCAACGGTCTCAAATGAGTGTGAACGCCCAGGGAAGAAACGGAACTACAGGATGGGAATGGCGACCTGGGCTATTCTTTTCAGTGTCTCTTATTTTGACACAGAACCCTTAACTTCAGAGACGGGTCTCCACAGAGATGAAACAAATGTGAATAATAAGTATAAGAAGATACGGCAAGCAGCAGCCCAGGTACCTGAACCATGAAGACAAAGACCCTCTGCATAGTTTTCAGTCGTTCCTTCCCGGCACCACACTGTCTAGTCCCATAAAGCTGTAATTGAAACCATGTGGTGTGTGCACAGGGCTCATTACAGGCTCCTCCAGAGTAATCTCGTGGCCGAGTCCTGTGGGGAGTCTCTGACAATCTTGAGGTCAAGATATTGTCACTTAAATATGAGAAACGACACGCGAACTTGCCTCCCTCGGGGAAAACTAAACTGGTTTGAATTTAGTGTGTGCAGATAAATACTTCTGTTCCCAAGAACATGTTTATGATTTTATTGACATCCTCCACAGAAAAGGAAACACATTTTATGGAAGAGTTTAGTGATTCATTTTTTAATATAGAAGGAAGCAGTTACAACCATTTTTAAAATAGCGATTTTTAAAATAAAAAATAGGAAACCATATATTCTTGCAAAATATTACATTAACTATGGATACCAACACATTAAAGAGTCAGAATAGTGAAATATGATGTGATATTAATAGTAATACCCCACAGAGAAACATCCTTAGTTTTTGACTAATAACTCATACCACCTATTAGGGTATCTAATTTAGCACAGAGTAAAAGTCGTGAACACTAAACTGAGTTAACGCTGACTTAGGGTGAGGGGAACGCTGAGAACACACATTCTAATTTGAACCCCAGCTCCTCTTGTGAGCTGAGATCATCTGCTGCCCACTGCCACTTCCTTTCTTTCCTAATGTTCCCACCAGTCGCTATTTCTTCAGAATTACTAATTCAAGAGAATCCATAGACCTCGGAACACAAGAACATACGTATGAAGAAGTCAAAGAACAGCTTCTGGTTCTAACAGGCTTACTTCCTACATCCACTCCTTGTAAATTCAAAAAAATATTTAATTTTTTAAATTAATAAAAGACACAATTTTTAGTGCCAGGGAAATAACAGGAAATTAGACAAGGTCCTTATATTTTAGCAGGAGAGAGGTCATTAACTGGTAAACAAACACGATACGTTTTGAAAATAATGCGCTATAAGAAAAGTAAAGCAGGACAATATAATGCGCTATAAGAAAAGTAAAGCAGGACAATATGACTGTAGGTGTTAAGAGAGGTGAGAAAGGGTCATTTAGGTTGTTTGCTCAATGGCGATCAAAACAAGCCTTGTGAAAAGCCAGGAAGAGTGTTCCAATCATAAGGAGAAGCAAGTATAAAGGCCCCTGAGCTAAAAATAAGAGCTTCATTTTTCAGGGAAATAAAAAAAAAAAAAAAAAAAAAAAGCTTTTTTATATATAAAAATAGTTTTTAAAGAGTGAGCAAAAAGAAGAGGTATAGTATTTAAAGATAGGGAAGGAGGCAGAAGCCATGACGCAAGGGTATTTGAAAGCTGTATGAACTGCTTTTCCGGTCCATTCATCCATCCACTCATTCATTCACCTATATGCCTATATATTCATCAAAGGGAATATTTTATTTTTTTTCATAATGAAAATGTGGTTCGACCTAGTATATATCTGAAATTATAAAGTACCAAAATAACAAAAAATATATAATTTTACCACACACACTCACAAACTCACATATCTTCAGTGCATGTGCACTCAGCCACAGACTTAGCCAACCTCAGCTGTTGTTACAGTCCAGAGGCTACCTCCACTCCTGCTGAGGTCTTGTGTCTGCAGAGGACCTAGAGCCACCACGCATGGGGGCCTGGGAGCATCCTACCCACCTTCACCTCCTGCTCACCATAAATCCTCATTATCATGTTGTCAGTACCAGAGTCTCTTAACCTCTTCAGTGCCCAGCGGACAGGCGGGGTCTGTTCATTAATTGCCAGTGCTTCATTTCACTGTTGTTTGAAACACCAAACTCTCTCTTCTTCTCCTCCCAAGGACCAGTGCTAAGTACCCCAGTATGAGCAGTCGGCAAACACCATAGAACTGCCTATGTTCTTTAGCTTTTACATCTGAATTGGCCACATTACAATTTAATTAGGAAATTAATGTAAAGGATTTTGTTTTCCCATACCAAATTTTTTCATAGTACACCTTTATGAGACATACCTATGCCTTATAGGAAAGGGCGAATAAAATTATGAGTTAAAGACAATTAGGGTACCTATGGAAGTCGGGCATCTGTGTAAGTGGGGGCTCTTGCTTTTCCCCCCATTTCTTTCTGCATTGTTCTGCTGCTACTTAGAATAAGCCAAGAATGATAAGCACTTGGTTAGAAAATCTTCTAATTATCCTTCAGCTGCCATGGGAACTCACATGCACGTTTACCACCTTGCATTATAAAGCGATATTACTAAAATTAAGGAATTCAAGTTCTATTTATTTGAGCCTGTAAACTTTCTTGGTATGTTTCTGCAAAAGCGGTTTCTTTGATAACAAATGCACTTAATTTTCATTCTAACATGGTATGTATTGCTCCCTGGTGCTATGTGTTGGCTGACAGCGTCAGCTTTTGCACATCCCTAATCAAATTTTGCCTAACAAAAAGCTGAACTAAGCATATTTGTTTTCCTATTTATAGCAGCATGTGCTTACATAACATATGAGATAGCAAGATTTAAAAAAAAAAAAAAAAAACTGATCCAAATCTTAAAACGCATCCATTATGTTTAGTTTAAATAAAAGCTATGTTCTCCCATTAAACGAGAATATTAAAAACAATTGGAGACAGACAGAAGCGTATTGCTTCTTTTCTAACCAGCATAATCACTGTGTTCATCCAATAAAATAGAGAACAGCAGGCAGAAATT